AAATATATTCTTATAGCGTGTAATGAATCGCACACTGAAGATTCGATATTTGTCATGCCATAGTAGTTGTGGACTTAGTGCATGTATTGTATGTGTTTCCAAATTTTGTTGTGCTTGGTAGATAGTTGATTATCTTGTGTATTCCTATTGATATATACGTTATTGCATAACTTGTTGATTTTGGAAACTTGGGAATGTCGTTGTTTGACTACGGCTAGGATATGGTTCTAGTACGTGGGATTATCCCTCTACAGTCTAGTGCGCACATAGGGAGGTTACCCATGGGCTAGTAATTCTAAAGTAACTATGGTGTCGGTCTGATCCGGCGTAATATCCAAGTACCCACTTTGTTTGATTTCGCATTTCATTTCAAGTTGATAACTAGATGATATCGTAACTTGTTATTCTTTAATTGATTTCCCATTTTGAGTTTCAAGATGTTAACTTAGAAAAATCATGTTTTATGCATTATATTGGAAGTTCCAATTTTGGTTAAATTGCATCGATATTGTGATTTGTATTTTGATGTTCAAATGTAGCTTAGGAACGATCCTATAGATTCATTTAGAATATAGACGTTAGGTGGCATGATCCACTTTAGTTGTTTTCGTGTTTTAGATTTCAAGTTGAGGACTTTGAGAATCTATATCTTGTTGATTTGTATAACATGTTTCTATATTGTTTAAATTGCATTAATGATGTGATTTACGCTAGAAAATATCTAAGGTAGCTTAGGATGCTTCCTGAGTCTCATCTTAACATAGACGTTAGGTAGCATGAGCCCCTTTGATTTGTTTCACCTTAAGGTGATAATTTTGTAAAATGTTAGGTCGATGCATGCTCATTTCCCACGAGTAACTTTATGTTACTCACCCCGAAGTTATTGGGGATTTATTTCAGGTACGAAGGCTTGGTTCGTGATGCTCATCATTCTTTGGATGACTTGTAACTGTTAAATTTCCATTTCATGCAAATGTTAGTATGAAATATCATTTTATAGCCTTATATATCAAAACTTGTATCTTTGATTCCATATATGTAATGTGTACATAAGTACACCTTTTACGATGTATTTGATTTGTATGAGATGAGGCCGGAGACCAATGACATTTATATTGCATCTTATGTAATTCTTGATTTCATGAAATGTTATGAAAAATATTGAAAATTCATAAATCATTACTTTATTGCTTTTGCATCGGGTGTGGAAATTCCGTTTTTATTCTTTCATAGAGTCTCATTTATCATGTATGAAGTGTGATCAAGGGCCAAACGGTAATTTGACTCTATTTTATATTTTTAGTTTTCAAAATTTCCATTTCTTGTTCATTTTTATCATTTTTGGCCGTCGAGGGGTCGGATTTTGAGTCGGGGCTTCTCGGGAGCCGCTGACCATTCCCCCGTGCTTAGAATCATTTATTACACTTGCGTGCACATTTGTTTCAACCTAGAAATGCATTTAGGGTCAAATGCATATTTTGTGCAAAGTTGCATTTTTTGAGTTTTTAAGCCCTTACTGATCTAGGGGCATTTTGGTAATTTCACAGTGTTTTTTTTCATTTTCTCCTAAGCAGCTAGGTAGAAATTTTGATTTTGGGAGGGGTTTCTTCTTTATGTTTTTTCAGAAAAATTCGTTTGATAGCCCGTTTTTGATCTCAGATGTGGACAGTCACTGTAGCATCTTTTTGGGTCCTCTTGACCTCTTATGATCTAGGGGCATTTCGGGTATTTCATATTATATTTTTTTCATTTTTTTTTCACATAGCCGGGTAGAAAACTCGATTTTGGGAAGGGTTTCTTCTTCGTGTTTTTCCAGGAAAATTCGTTTGGTAGCCCATTTCTGCTCTCAGATGTGGACAGTTACTGTAGCAGTTCTTTTTGGCCCTCTTGACCTCTTCTGATCTAGGGGCATTTTAGGTATTTCACAGTGAGTTTTTTTCGTTTTCTTTTCCAAGGTCGGGTACAAAACTCGATCTTGGGAAGTGTTTCTTCTTTGTGTTTTTCCAGAAAAATTTGTTTCAAACCTCATTTCGGCTCTCAGTTTTGGCTGAAACTTTTTTTCTCCTTGGCATGTCATGGTGCTTGTCAGGATGCTCGCGGGGTGTTCGTCTCGACGTCGTGACGTCGATTCTTATTTTCGCTCATTCTCATTCGTCCGGACTCCAAATCGAGTGAAATTTTTTTTTGAACTTGACTAATTTTTTGTTATCTTTCCAACGATGTACTCGGTTGCACCCAGATCTTCCTATAAAATTATCAGTGTACCCTTTTAGCCTTAAGTGCTCGTTTTTCTTCGTCATGTCGTTTCTCCTTCATCCGAACTCTGAATCATGTGATTCTTGAGTCCATTTTGATTAGTTTTTTGTTGTCTTTCCAGCGGTGTGCTCGGTGGCACCCAAATTCATATTTTTAGAAAATTATCATTTTGCCCCTAGGGGCTTATTTATCATATTTTCGATCTTTTGCTTCCGCATCAGTTCTCATTGAGTTCTACGACCTCATGGAAGGTCACTCTAACTTCCTAGAGTCTTATTTTCTGTTTTCACTTCCACATTCGGATTCGTTATTGGGTCAATCTTCGGTTCATCATAGGACGCACTGGCTTGAAAAACCAGGGCTGTCACAGAATGGTTATGCAGGGCATATCATGGCATCAAGAAGAGTTTTGGAAATGAATTGAAAAAGAATTTTTTTTTTTTTTTTTTTTTTTTTGAAAGTGAAGTTTTCAATAATGGAAAGGAGTTTTTTTTAAAAAAATAAACCAGATTTCGCAAGTCTGGGGCTCGCTTGACTTATTGGAAGCACGGCCCAGCTTTGGGCGTGAAAAAGTTGATACTATACCATTTAACAGTTGCCAGGCATTGTCAGAATTGGAACCTGGGATAGTCATCAATCTTGCCTCGGTAAAGTCAGCTAGTGGGTTTTCCAAAGGTGTGGGTTAGGCCGATTCAGACCGAGTTGGAAACGCGGTGCATTTACATTTTATTATCATGCATGGCACTAGTAGAATTTTGTATTATATGCTGGAAATATTTTTGGCTTATTGTAATGTTCCACATACCCCAAAGCATAATCCCTTCATCTCATTTTCCTTATGTGTTATGTGACTCAAGGGAGTCCAAAACTAATGTCTTAGGTGACTTCTACTAGGCTTTATGCTCACCCCTTAACTTAACATTTTCAAGTTTGGGAAATGAGTGGCGGAAGAAAACCCACCACAAGTTTAGCGGACTAGAAGTTATTTTGTCGTCTTTTGTATATGGGATTCCATTCTTTTTTGTAAAATAATAATTTGAAGAAAATGTAATCGTTTTGTGTAAAGTACAACCATGTTTTATAACTGTGATTTTGATAGTATTTTTATGTATTCGGAACTATGTCTATGTTATGTTTTAATTGGGAAAATGATGTATAATTTGGGAAATTGATTATTTCATATATCCATGAAATGCTATTTATGTTGCCATGAATTCGGAATTGAATTGTCTAATAGGTTTGGCTCACAAAGAGCCCAGATTTCTAGACTTCAGGCTGCACATAGCAGCATAGCAGGGCTCATTAGTCAGTTGACAAGGTATGTCAGTCGACTGACAAGCATTTTCTAGGCATTCCAGTGAATTTGGTAATTGAGAAGTCTTGTTTCGGTCGACCGAACCTCACCATCGGTCGACCGAAACTTCATCATCAGTCGGCCGACACCCCATTATCAGCCGGCGGACAGTTCATTTTAAAGAAGTCCCGAGAGCACATAATTTTGGAAATCGTTTCACTGGCCGACCCTGCAGATCAGTCGGTTGAACCTCTCTTTAGCCGGTCGAACTTCACTTTCAGCCGGCCGATGAACCCTTTCTAACAAAGTCCCAAGAGTTTGCAAATTTGATATCGTTTCGGCCAACTGACCATCTTAGTCAGCCGGCCGATCATGCATTTTCAGTCGGCTGACTTTTCCATTGACCCGGCTGACTCTCCCATTGACTTGGCTGACTCTCCCATTGACCCGGCTAACTTTTCCATTGACCCGCATCTTGACATTTTCACCTGAGCTGTAATTTGGAGTATACTTTGGACCTTTGAATGAGTTGAGTACTACCGATAAGCATAGGAAATGATCATTGTACCCTTGTTGACCTCGAGTTTGGGTAGGGACCCGGTTAATGATCCGGACCCACGGGTTCGGGTCATTACATTTCTTTTTTCTTTTTTCTTTTTTCTTTTCTTTCCCCTCTTTTTCTTACTTTTCTTCGTTTTGTTTTTTTAGAGCTGTTACTCTTAGTCGAGATGAACTTTATTGTTTTTGTTTAATATATAAAAATAGTAGAGTAAATGATCAGATTTATTGTGTTGAATTCATTATTAAATTTATATAATGTTTGGAATTGGAGAAAAGCTTTTAGGATTTGTAAAAATAGAAGTGTAAATTCAGATTGTGTGAATTTTGTTCAGAAAGAAGCCAACACTTGATTCAAGACTTGATTAAAGAAGCAACAGGTGCACCAATCTGATGGGGGCATTATTGACATTAATTTAACACGTTAGCAATCTGACTTTGCTTTACCCACCTACCGTTTCTTGCTATTAGCCTCGCTACTTTTCTCCCCAAGTGGCGGCTAACGGACCAGATTTTGAAATATTTAAACATAAAATATTTGAAAAGTTCAGAAAAGAAAAATGATCCGGAACTTGTTCATGTTCAAGAAGAAATAAAAAATGAGTAGGGTAGAGAGATTAATATGACATTCTTTTCCATCATTTTCACGGAATCCCACGGTTTCCAAGCTTCAAATATTATTGTTCACCGTGATAAATTTTTTGCCTGCAGTCGTTCGATACGCGACTTATGGACCTATTTTTAAGTCCAATACACGACTTGTATCGGTCAATTTATACTGATTTTATTTGAATCAGTTACACTACAACAGATACTAAGACTGCGAACCATAATTACAGTTGCTCCAAGTTGTGGCAAGCAGTAGTAATACGAATTGAAACCAAAAAACTGCTGTATTAAAATAGCATATATATATTCCACTCAACTTAAATCTAAAGAATATGAACAAATGAATAAGCTACCAACCAAAAACAATGGACAAAAATGCCTATCGCAACCATCAGATTACAGACAACAAGTGATGGGGAAAAGGATGGAGAGGAACCATGAGCAACCTAAAAGATTGTACAAACAAAGTTGGTTGATATATACATACAATGTTACTCCTGCAATTCTTTTAGTTGCATTTTGCCCCTTCACTTCTCCCTTTTTCCAACTTATCAATAAGAAAACTCATGCCCTCTGAGTGAGATATACTTTTTAACCCATATAGAAATGTCCTCCGCACATACTTGGGCCTGTTGTGTTTTAGATAACACATCAAGGGTGGCAAACTCATGCACAGCATCCTTGTAATCAAGAACAGGAGCATCCACATTGACCTTACGAAGCTCCTCCGAATAAACTATAGCACGATCCCGCATCCAGTCATGTTCTGCTACAACTGTTAGTGTTGGGGGCATGTGCTTAAGGGGTATCTCATTTCCATGAACCAGAGGGTTAGCAGCTGGGTGGTCCAGGTTGTAATCTTCTTTAGGTAGGAAGAGTTTCCATGAGAGAATGCACATAGCCTTATCATAGAAGTACGAGTTTGCCAGTTTTATCTCAGAACGCATGGGCATGCTCCCAATGAAGAAAGGGTACATCAGAATTTGTGCCACCACCCTTACAGGATCTAAAAGCTTGCCTGCCTTTGCAGCTTTTCGAGCAACATAATTTGCAATGTTTGCACCGCAGCTCACTCCAAGGAGAACACACCTGTTTAATGAAATAACAAGTTTGTGGTTATATACATGTTACATTAGCAAAAAATAAAAAAGAAAGGAAAACAACATTCAAAAAGATGACAAGGGAGAATGACTATTTTGCGTTCCGCTAATTAAAGAATAATCCTATGAAATGGCCACATTAATAAACCTTAGATATTCCGTGTTCAGATTTTTTTTCTTTTTTCCTGGCAGTTGACAAGGGCATAAATAACTGATACAAAAATTCTTCTAAAAGAGTTGGTTTCCAAGAAGTGTTTCCTATTATTAACCACATTCAAGAAATGATAAATTTCCTTATGAAAAAACATATTTGAAACAATAGGGAAACCAGTTTCCAAAAGTTCAAAGAACATCAGCGCATATCTATGGATTTACACTAAATTTCTTCAGACCTATTGCTTAACCTAGCGGTCATATTTACATCATGTCATTATGGAAATTATATTATTCCCGGCAAATCAGGAATGAGACTCTCACTGACAAGTAGTTAGAAATGCCAGTGATTCGCGGTTGTCGTGGCAGGGTGTAGTAGTGAAGCAGGGACGATCATGAAACGAGTGGTGGATGAGGTGCAAGGGTGTAAACATTTGAGTGTAGGTGGGTCCGGTGGGATGTCCTGCTAGTCGACAATGGGGGTGGAACATTGTTGTGATGGCAGCTATAGTGGCCGAGATGAAATTCACCAGTGGGATAAGGTGGCAGTGGCAACGGATGGGATTGCAGCGGTGCTACAACTAAGCATTAACACTAGAATAACATTCCCTATCAGTATAGCATCATTGCTCATGCATCTATCTACATGTTAGTGTAACGGTAACATGACCAACAAACAACACTAATTCCAATGCATAAAATTTAGAATGTTAGCTAGCATTGCTACAATTCCACCGCCAAGATTCAACTCAAGCAAAATCCAAACACGGCATCATTAAGTGATCAATGAACTACTTGTGGTTTATGTGAAATTGAATTTTGGTATCAAGCAAGAGACTTGAGAATGTGCTTTAGCTCAAATTTAACACCACTTCACTGGACATGGAAAAACTCTAAACCAGTAAAGTAAGAAAAGCAAAGTCAAATATACCTTGAAGGATCTCCATGAGCAGCCAACCAGGGCTCAACCATAGATGCTCCGAAACCATCAACAATCTGCTTATGAACGATCCATCTCCTGAGGTCCCCATCAAGTGATTTACTGCACTCGGCTAAATTGGATTGCTTCCCCAGCCAATTCAACACCTTTATCCCATCCTCGAACGCCGCAGGGTACCGACTCTCTGGCGCAAGCCTATACCCGACTGCTACAACAATCGCATCACACAATTTTGCGATTCGTCTGCAAAACAAATCATTCGCAACCGAGTCATTGCTCCCACTGACGAACCCTCCACCATGAAATTGCAAAATCACCGGCAATCTACGCAGCCTTTTATCTATCGCCGGCGAATAACCCCTATAATCCCCAAAATCCTGCTTCAAAGTATTGGGAGAATTCGTCGAAGCCCTAACTCTAACCCTAGGTGGGAGGACGGAGTTGGTGGTGGAAAGGGCGTTTTCGGGGAGGAAAATTCGGAGGGAGAGAGAGGTTAAGGGGTCGATGTGGAGGTCTTTGGTGGCGACGCCGTCAGAGAAGGAAGGGTTAGCAGGAGCGACCGATTCATCGGGCCGAGATGTGACGCCGAATGGGTTGGCGGTGGTGTTGGGCTGAAGAGAAGCTTCAATTAGGCTCTGCAATCGCTTTTTGAGAAGGAATTTGTAGAGTATGCTGTAGAGCTTCACGGACACGCTTGGCATGTCTCTAGAGAGAGAAAGATTTAGAGAGAGAGAGAGAGAGTTCTTTAAAAGTATTCATGAAGGATGAAATTATACGTTTTTATGGAGACGACATTAACAAATCAGAGAAGAGACTGCTTCAATTTCAAATCAAATTATCATATAATTTGTAAAAGGCGTGTTGTTGTAATTCTACTCTTCTAGAGAGTAGAGAGAGAGAGAGAGAGAGACCGCGTTTGAATAATTTGTGTATTAGTCGCATTTGGTTTTGATTATGTTCAGTGTGGTGAGGTGAGGGGGTGCGTAATACGCGGACACGTGGCTACATTGCAATATCTAGCTGGATTCTGGATACTATTCAACACTATCCACCTATCTATAATTTTTTTTTTTTTTTTTACTTACATCATGACAAAATTATTTTTCTAAGTGTAGATTATTACTTCCTCAAATTACAATTATCAAAGTATTCAATTATTTTGAGATAATGAAAATATTATTTTTTTAATGATGTAGATGCGTTTTATATGATAATAGTATTGTGTTTTGAACAATTATGTGATTTTTTTTGTTGAGGAAAAAGTAAAAAGTAAACGAAAAGAAAAGAAGTGAAGTATGAATATCTTCTCTTTTATTTTATTAAAAAATATATATTTTTAATTTTTTGATAAAGCATACAAAAAAGAAAAATTAAGCATTATATGATTTGCAAAGAGACTTGTCTCTACAATTTTGCAGCCCTCCCACTCTTTCATAGCTTCAATTTTGAAGGAGTATTCTTGAGTCTTTTGATTTCGCTTCAATTTACAAATTACGTGAAATTATTGTGATGGTTGAGAAGGATGATGAGTCATTTTAATCGCGTTATAATTGGTGGTGGAGGCTGAGAAGAAAGTTTAAGAGATTTGCAAATGAGATAAACAATTAGAGGGGAGAAGAAATACCAAAAGGAGAGAAAGGAAAGAGAGGAGTTTTTTGTCATTTCAATTTAATAAAAATATAAGTGGAGTGCTAGAACATCTCCTTGAAGTACAAATATCACTCCCCTAATTTATTTATTTAAAAACTTAAAAGATCATGAAAAATAATAAAAGTAAGAAAATCAAAAGTAGAATAACTATTGACAATATATGCTATAATAATAGTTACTCTTTTCTTTTTTCTTTTTTTCTGACAAAAAGATATTTTACTAGTTGGGGGATAGGTAAACGATAAAATATTGTAAACAATAAAATAGAAACAAATATAAATACCTATAAATATTGTGGTATAGATAAGATTGGGTGGGTATAACGTGTAGCGTTTACTCCCATGTAGCATCCAAACTCAACTTGGTCGCCTTAATCGTTTGTCAAAATCAGGCCCAATTCATAAAAGTCATTGGATTGGGTTTGAACTTTGAAGCGCCCCATACCATAAAGATTAAGTGTCGCGATCAAAACACGTGCCGGTAAAAGCATGTCGCAATTTTATAGTACACCTGGAAAGAAAGACATGAGGAAAACCGACTTTCTAGAGACTTCCAAAAAGAAAAACTATTTCTCATCAGCAGTAGCACATTTTGACTTTGTTGCCCATAAGTTGGCGGATTAGAAATAAGAGACTTGCACATACCTTAAGAAATTAGAAGGATTGAAGTTTCAAGAACTTTCAATGTCCTGTCACCTTTCCTCTATCGGATTTCAATACCATATGGAATTATCCCTGAATTCAATACTGCATTGTTGAAAATATTTTAATAAAAATGTAATTAAATCTTATTGATTATAGTTTAATGAAATTTTATTCCGCTAATTAAATTTAGTTATAGTGTATATTATTTTAATTATAATTTCTATCATTATTATATCTTAGCCGGTACATATTTTACTCCCTATATATGTATACTCTGTATATAAAACATCTAGAATATTACTTCTGGTGTATTGTAAAAATATAGAGTGACACTTTGATAAGATTGTAAACCTAGCTATTCTATTTATTTCTTGAGAGTAATTTATATATTGAGTTTATGAGTAACGAGACACATATAGATTTGGAATTAGTCTTCCTGTGGTTGTGTACAGAGGAAACACTACTGCGAATTGGTTGAGTTATATCTTGGAGCTGACTAATTTCGTCAAAACTCGCAAAAAGAGGAGGACTATCAAGGTTAATAAAATGTTTTTTTTTTTTTTTTTTATCTTGGAGTTGATTGAGTGTAATAAAATGTTTTTTTTTTAAAAGGTAAAGCAATTCACTCACATACAGCTTATACTGAGGCTTGGATCCATAACCTGGTACCATTGTTGTAACATTAAGTTTTTTCTAAGTGCAACATTCCATTATAAACAAACTTAATTCTATCTCACATATTATTTTTATTTATATGAGTGTGTATATATATATCGAATATATGATGGGCGTATTTAGGGGGTGGGTTGAGCCCATCCCAAAAAAAAAATTTCCCTATAGTCAATTTTAGCCCAGTCCAAAAAATAATAAATAAATAAATAAATAAATAAAAATAATAATAATTATTAGTATTAGCCAACTCAAAAAAATATTAACCCACCCCATTAACAATTCATGAATCCTCCCTTAACTCATGACCTTGTGCCTCAACAACATCTTTGCATGTGACTTTTCCTAAAATAAAAAATAAAATAAATCTTTGCATGTATAGCACCCGTACAACAATATTGAAATATATATTATATATGAAAAGAGTGACAAAGGCTGATGTAGTAAATCACAAACAAAAAGTTCATCACCTAGTACTACTGATTCATCGTACCTTAATTAGATGCATGTTTAAAAGCCAGCTTCAACTTCAAGCTAGGTCTCCTCTTCCTCAATGTATATAATTTGCTCATGAATCTTTCGTTCCACTAGCTGGTAGACAAGAGCAATAAACTCCTTAATTTATTAATCACTGGATCAAGACCATTTTTTTAGATCTATAAAAATTTAAATAAATTTTGAAATAAATATTCTATCAAGCAAGACGATTAAGAAGTAGAGCTCGTAATGATGCAGTACATTCGACTGTCCAAGTGAATTTGCGTGTGTTGCCTGAATTGCGTAATTTATTCCAAAAAGCAAAAAGAGGGGGAGGACTGAATCATTTAGATGTGGATTTGTCACCTAATATACATTGGCCGGCTTCTTCATAAAGCGTTGAAGGTCAAGCATGTGAGGCCCTGCAACATTCCTCTTATATATATTTAACCATTGAAGATCACGTTTTTCTTTATGACATGGTGTGGGGATCGTTCCCTTGCAATCACTTTCCCTAGACTTTTTGGGATTACTATTGATAGACATGCTATCATGGATGATTGCTATCGTCAGGGGCAGAATCAGGATTTTGAGGTTCGGAGGCTAAAATTATAAGCAACATTAGAATTTTTTGGAGAAAAAAAAATTCCATAGGTAAAAATATTTTACAATTTATTATAGTCATACAAAAATATATCTATCTAAACTTTTGCCAATTTCTTTTAAAAAATAGTTATTTAAACAAGCTTTTTATCAAACTTTCTGAACAAACACAAATAAGATTTATGCCAAAAATTTTTAAAATTTTTTTTAATTAAACAATTAGAGAAATTGATGTAATACTTGCACAAATTAATAATCATTGTAATATATCATAAAAATTATATCTATGATAAAAAAAAAAAAACACAAACAAATTAATAAAATAAGAATTTTTGTTGATATTCAAAACTTCAAATGAAATTTTTGTTCTAGATTTTGTAAAAATTAATTTCTTATAAAAGAATTCCAATAAAAATTAATAAATTTTAAAAAAGTGATCGGAAAGAATCATGTATGAGATGGAATTTTAGAATAATAAGGTTATGGAAATAATAGTTGTAAGGATTTTAAGATAGTCAAATTATGAACAAAAACGGTGTTAGAGTTGAAATTTTAAGATATTCACATTAAATTTTTATATGAGTCAGTTTTTATCGAGATTCTATAGTCGTCAATTAAATCACTTTCCTTCAGATTATATATAAATTATCTCTGTTAAATGTTAATTAAAGAAATAATTTTTTTTTTCTTAGGGGGGCCAAGTATATTACTATATTTATTTTTATTTTTACCTATACTAAAAAAAATTCAAAAAAATCCCCCCCCCCCCCCCCCCCCCCACCCACCCAGCTTTGCCCCTGGCTATGTCTTGATAGTGAAAGAATGGTGTGGGATGTACGTTTCTTAAGGCTGTTTCACGATTGGAAGATGGAGGAGGCGATTGTCTTTCTGGAGTTGTTATATAGCTAGGAGATAGTGGAGGAGACTTCTGACTTTTGTGTGTGGACTCCATCTTCTCATGGGCGCTTTGATGTTTGGTCATTTTTTTTTTTTTTTCTTTTCTTTAAGTAAACAAAAATTATCATTAAATACGCTCAAAAAGGGGAGCGTGCCCGAAACAAGAAAAGAAAAAGACACCCAAGGTACCCCTACAACTTCAAGTTGTCAACAAACTCCGAGAGGTTATCCATAGATAAACAACTTTTCCGGTTGACCCAAAAAAAAAAAAAAAAAAAAAATGCAAAATATTCAATTTAATATTCCAAAAAGGGGACTCCCCGCCTTCAAAGGATCTCCTATTCCTCTCTCGCCACAGACCCCACCATAAACAAAGAGGAGTTACCCTCCAAGCCTCTCTAACTCGGCTGACCACTAAACACCCTCTCCAAGCCTCTAAGATCTCCACCATGGTCCTTGAAGCAACACAATCCACACCAAAAACAATCAAAAACATGGCTCGAGATTGTTGGCTTTTGTTTTTGGGTTTGTTTGAGATCAATTCACTGGGTTATGCCACGATCTACCAAAATTGAGGCTTGGAGAGGTCGTATAGTGGGGCCCAAGCTCGTGACTCTTGGAGGGTTACTCCTTTTTGTGTTTGGTAGTGTTTGTGGTTTGAAAGAAATAAAAGATCCTTTGAAGGAAAAGGAAAATCATATTGGGTCGTTGAAGTTCTCCATTCTTAGCACTGTTTTTTGCTGGGTCCTAAGAGGAAATTGTAAATCCTTGGATGAGCTTGTAGAATTTTTGGATTTGTTAAGGGTTTAGAGACCCTATTTGGCCTTGTGTTGTTTTTTGAGAGATGTGTTCCCCTTTTGAAAGTTTTTAATGAATTATTACTTAAAAAAAGAAAAAGAAAAAGGAGAGCGCATTATAAAGTACTACTACACAAAAGGCCAATAGAAGCCAACAGAAGGCCTACTATGTTCTCAAGTTGTCCAAAAAATCTACAAAAT